CCCTCCCTGGTTGTTCAGGGTAAGGTTGTCCTTTTATACCCTTCTGGGCCTGAACTGGCTCCACGCTTTGTTAGGGCTTTTGTCAGACACAGGCACCCACGACCCAACTAGCAGCACTCCCAGCCGCTCAGAGAGCACACACAAACACACAGCCCACCAACTAAACACTCAGCAAGCCAAACACACAAGCAGCCCTGGCTCACTTACCTTCCAGGAGCAGGATCTGGTGTCTGGTTTCTTTTCATCTTCCCTTTCCTCACCTTGTTCCTAGTGAACTGGTTGCAAACTGCCCTGTTTGCTGCCCTTGTGGCTGCCCCTGTTCTGGGGTCAGGGAAAGCAAGAAGGAGCCTAAAAGTTAAGGCAGCCACCTGGTATGAGGGAGGTCCCAGGTTCTAGCTTTTGCTGCAAAGACTGTTTCTGCATTTTACCCAATATCTAGTTAATGTAAAAAGCACCACCTCCCCTTTCCTGACCTTCTTCCCCTCTGGATGTGTCTACACATTCATTCGTGTGCAGTGCCTATCGCACATTAAATGTGCAGTAGGCTGTCCTACTGCGCATTAGCCTGATCGCATGCTTTTTTCATGAATGTTAATGCACAGTAGATTAATGCTATCATGTATTAGAATAATAGCACTGCTTTTGCTGTGATGCTGTAATGCTCAGTCAATCAGTCTACTATGCACTGTCTTGTGTAGAAGCACCCTCTTTCTTCTCCTCCTCTTCAAGCAGTGTTTTAAGAGGAACCAGTAGCTGCCACTGCACCATTTGTTGGCTTCTTTTAGGTGTGCTCTGAGACCACCAGCTGGGAAAAATGCCTGGTTCATGTTTTTAATCAAGTTTAGATGTGAGGTAGCTGCTGGAGTAGAGGCACCTCTGGGGTGTTAGTAGGTGAGCAGTGGTTTACAGGATCAGAATTCTGGACTCTAAATACCACTGGAATCTGTCCTTTTTTTTTAATCCACTCAATCTGTTAATGTTTCTCATGCATAAACTGGAGAAACAATATGAAACCACCTTACATGGCTGTTGTGCAGATTAAGTCACAAATATGTATATGAGGGTAAGATTTTACTGTATGGCCCCTGACCTACGTTACACTTAAGACATGACTAACCAGTTAATCACCTCTTGTTACCTAGCCACACACAAATGCAAGTAGTGGTGTGATTAAACAAGGAATAAGCCACAAAGTTACCGCATATTTTTTGTGTAACAACTTTGTCACTGGTTCCTATCATACTGTTAACTGAACATGTGGCCAGGTTAGGGCTCCCAGCCAAAGGGTGCATCCCCATGGCAGGGAGCCCGGTCAGCTGATGGGGCTCACAATGCACCTGAGCTTAGGAGCCTAGAGCAGCTGACAGGGCTCCCAATTGTGGGAATTTGCTTCTTGCTGGTGTAGGGGGAGCCCAGGATCATTATCACAATCCTGCCCCACCCCCGCACTGGCAGTAAGTCTTGATTGATGTGATGTTTGACCCTATAATCAACTTCTTCCCATGCCACATGGGCATGGTATGAAGCACAATTATGGGGATTGTGCATCAGAACCCATGGTGCCTTTTACCTTCACATCTGCCAGGAGCCTATGACACATGCAACACCAGAGCCTGATCCAGGCAGCCCCCAAAAGCCTTCAACCTGAATTGTTGAATGCAGCCATTTTACTGTTGAAGTGTGCTTTCAACTGAATTATGCCTCAATATTCAGAGTGCTTTAGTGTGCCATTGCCACAACTCCTAAGGAAAAATGACTTTAGGAAACATGTCTTCAGGTTCAGTGACATCATCCATTTCCAGAAATAAACATTGCAATAGTGACTGCCCCTGCAAATCTGCGTAACCAAGATGCTCCCCTCTGTCTCTTAGTATTCACTTTTTGCCTAGATATAGATCTTAGTATCTGAATGATTCCTAGGAGGAACAGTTGTACCTTCCAACAATATAGGCAGGGGCTTATCTTGAGAGGCTTGTGAGATGAGTTTTTTCTGCAAGAGCTATGTGCTTTTATATACTTGAGATAGATTGAAAATAACCCAGAAAACAATCCCATAGCATTTCAATGGCTACCTTTTGTTAGAAGCACCACAAAAGATGAGCAAATGCAATAGCATCCATTAGAACAAACATGAAAAGAAAAGGGTAAGGATTAGTGCTTATATCTAAGAGTTGTATCTGTGATGTTTAGAATGTGCACAAAAGCATAATAGTTTTCTTTGTGAAAGAGTTGAGTAGGGAGACCAGTAGCAGTGGATACGAGACCAATGCTGCTTTCTGGGTTCCATGAAAGACAGGGTGATGAAATAAGTCAGAAAATACTTGAAGGAACTTTCTTGGGTATATTCCTTGTTTTGTTTACAGAAATTGAAAGAAGCCCTTCTCCCCTTCCCTACTCCATCCCGCACTGCAAGGAGACTTCTGCACCCAATAGGCATCAGATGGCTATGACAGTCTACAACTGTAAGTGACACAGGTTTTATTGTTTTGGTGTCATGGACACTTCACTTGATTGATCGCTTCCTTCAATGACAGAGTGAGCAGTACTTTTAGGGTGCATCCCAATGAATGGAAACAATATGTGCCGCTACTTATCCCCAGGGAATGTCTCCACACACGTGCTCTGGCATGCAGCATGTTACCCCAGGTGGGGTAGGGGAGGCTGGGGCCAGCACCTAAGCTGGCCCCAGCAGCTTTACCTGTAGTGCTGGGGGCCTTTGGGGGCTGTAGCTGTGGCAATCCAGCAGCAGGGAGCCTGGCCAGCAACAGCTGGGGTGTAGCTCCAACTGACCAGACTCTAGTTTCAGGGGGTGTGCACTGCCACCAAAGTGCACTGCCCCATTTTTAGGTGTGGGTTATTTTGGCATCAGGATCTCTGGGGGTGGCATGTGCTCCAGGTGTGGGGGGTACTTTAATTAGAGAGGCTCTAAGAGTTGCTTTAATTAAAGCACCCACAGCATCTCATGTATCAGTGTCCCTGTGCTTCAAAATGGGAGCAGGGTCATTTTAACTTAAGCTTGTTGAATAAGCTTTAGTTAAAGATCCCAGACCACCATTTTGAAGCATGAGGCTGCTGATACATGAGACAGAGGCTGCTGGAGGCACACTAATTAACATGCTGCACCAGACTCAATTAGTCTGCTGGAATGATATAATTAGTGTTAGAGCAGCTTCCCCACATGTCTACAGGCACCATTAGCTAGGAATTTCTCAGCCAACCAAAACTCATGTGGCTGCCTTTCCTGCTTATATTTGTTGGCTTGCTACAGTCTAATTGGGAGAAAACATTGTTCATTGGGGAACTATATAAAAGAATAAGTGGGAAGCTTTTATTCGTAAGAAATATTTACTATGATGATTGGGAAAAAACGTCTTTCTTTAAAGATGAAGTGGTAGGTTTGGATTTTGGGACAGAAAGGGCTTAGTTTTCTATCACAGTTCATAGTGAATCTGTTGCCTCCAGAAAATCTATTCAGGTTCTCAAGAGTCGCAGCCAATTTCTGCCTTTTTAATGGCCTCTTTTAAAAACACCCGAAAACCTTTTTTCCTGTTCCACTCTGGAATAGTGACTTGAAACATTCCCCATTCTACCTCAAAATAATGAGTCATTTGCTAGAAGCAAGCCTGTACTAAGCTTTATTGCTTTTGGGAAAAGCCATATTTTCATCCTACTTCAGCTGTGCTTGCTACTGAAAAAGAAGGCAAAATTAAGCTGCTGCTTTCCAAGCTTCAGAACGTTCTATAAATTGCCTGCTGGAAAGAGAAGAAAGGCCATAGACCAGTTAACAGAGCCTGATCAGCTGAACTGTTAGCAGAGACTTCACTTCACTTTGCTTCTGGCTACAGCAGAACCTTTAGTTGCTGCCTGGCTCTGCTTCCAAAGACACAATAGCTGAACAGCTCTTGAGCAAGGTCTGAAACAGGGCAAGACTTCTGAAGTCTATGGCAACAGAGTTTCAACAGTTTCCTCCTGAGGAAATGGATGTACCCAGTGGTCTGGTTAGCTACTCCCTTCAAAAGCAGCCTACAGGGAATGATACTTCCATTTTTTTTCCTTCATTCCACAATGATATTTGGGGTAAGAACCTTCAGTTGAAGGGTAACTTAAGCTTTGCATTTTTAGGCAAAGATCATATCTACCTCTATATTTAGTTAAAAAAAAAAAAAAAAAAGCTCTTTCTTATGAACTCTATAAATAAGCTAGTGTAATTCTTTTGTATTATTAACTCAAAATTCACCTCTGAACTAATGACTTGTGATGGCAGACCAACCCACCCATTCTAGTACAGATCTCTTCAGTCAGGATGAGAGTGAAAGTCTTTTGTCCCATGGTGACTTTTTTTTAAGTGGGCTTGTGGGTTGTGTAAGCAGGGGCTCTTGGGGCTAACCAAGTTTGATTTAAAGGCAGTGTTCATTTCCTTTGACCCTCCATTCCTGAAATTAGTCAGTTTCTCGTCATGCCCTCCAATTGTTATTATTCTCACAAGCTTCTCAAACAGATGGAATTTAAGAAACCAAAGAAGGGAACTAACATTAATCTCTAGCTTGTTTCTCATGTAAAGCAGTATGCTATTTACCTTCTATGAAACAGTCTCTATAAGACAAGGGGGTCTCTAAAACACCAAGCATTTTAAATGCTTACTATTTGTCTAATAAGAGCCAGACCATATTACTTTTCAAGCCAAAATAAAATTAGTGGCAGTCTGATGTATGCAGTGACGAGAAGAGGTAGGGAAGGAACCAGGCTCCTGAACATAAACATGGACTCTGGTAGCTTGGAATAGCATGGGAATTAGAAAGGGACCTCTGCATCCACACATGCAGATTTAGTGAGAGTGCTATAATGTCAGTCAACAAACTGGATAAGTGTCTATCCAACTAACAGGGTGCATGCCATAATGCCCCTGGCTTACTGCATCCTTCCAAGGTTTCACCCACTGTTGTTAAGGTGGCTTAGTTTTACAATTAAAAAAAAAAGAACAGAGTAATTCAATGATTTTACTGACCTCCACTTTAACATATAATTTATTTGTGCCATTTTATTAGTTTACATGTAACTAAGATATGAAATGACAGTGGTCCAAGAAATAATTGTTAACATTAGTTCTGAGAATTTCATAGGGTTAATAACTCTGGCATCTAGATAGCATTCAACCAAGTGTCTGCTTTTAAAAAAGGTACAGGGCATTAACCAAATTTGTTCTGAAACACTGAATGGCCACATAAAAATTTAAATGAGAAGTATCTCAATAGATGTATTGCTATATTTATTCCACAGTAAAATATATATCTTTAGTTTTAGGAAAATAGTTTGACAAAAGGGATGACAAAAACTGATAAAGCTGGTGTTACAATACAGAAGCATTGATGTAAAACAGTGCTATAAGCAGCTATGCTCACATAGCGGAATAAATACAGTACAAGGGTTGAAAACATTTTTTCTTAGAAGACTGGACAAAGTAATCCTCTGTTTATATACACAAACTGAAAATGTTTAACTGTTTGCACCATTACAGCTATACTATAATTTGGATATGGCCATCAGCTTTTTGCCATCAAGGAATAAATTAAGCAACTCTCTTGTGACTACTTCCAAAAATTATTCCTATCCTAGAATTCCCTCAATTCCCTTTTGACAATTAAGATTTTTCTTTTCCATGACCAACATCCAAAAGTTGAAAGAGGCATGTTTTACCCCACCCACCCAAGTGTACTTAGGCTGTTACGTTTGTTTGGGTTTCTGCTGATGGGGAAGGAAAGACAGGAGACCTCAAAGAAATGTTACAGCAAATCAAGACATTGCCTTTAAATTTTCTTGCTTTGGCAGCCATGTCCAATACATTTTCTCATTGAATGCTGATCTGAGAATCACAGGATCAAAAGTACTAGTAAGTGCAGAGGGTAATCCACCACTGTGCTTTGCAGGGAAATACCATCCTTTTCAAAGTTATTGTCATTCACTTTTGGTTTTTCGGTTGTGAAGCCATGTACAATGCTATCAAACAGTAAATGGACCCTCCAATTGTTAGAGCCATAGTGGTCCGATACAGCAGTTGATCAGGAACTCCTTGTTTCAGATGTACCAGCACCCCATCAGCCTTCTGAGGGGACAAAGAAAGGTTATGCTTATACAGATCACCACATCGAGCCACCATAGCTACAATTAAAAATCATGCCACTATAGTCCAAGAAGATCAAAGATAAAAACTCAGTGTAAAATGTGGGTAGAACACGGTATAGTAAAGGCTTTTGGTTTATACCTGAAATAGCTTCTGTAGTTCTGGTACCTTGTTTCTTCCCAAATAAGAAACAGCTGCTGGAGACTCTGAATCCACTTTAGTTGGCATTTCAAAAATTGGAGCTGGCAATTTGGTAGATACCAGTGGTTTGAGTCCCTGCATAAATAGAGGCATAAAGTTTAATAGTCCCTGGATAGCTCACTATGTAAACATATCATATTCCAGGCAAACAAGCTACCACAGCCAATATGAAGATGCATTATAGACAGAAGGTGAAGTGGTAGAATCCATGTCTGCCATGTGGGAGACCTGGGTTTGATTCCCAGTCTCACACAACTACAGCCACTGTAATCCAATTAAAAAGCTATACTGATTTGTAACTGATAAACTTCTGAGGTTCATCTCTGGTTCAAAATGCAACAAATTCATTTGCCATCTACAAGCAAGAAACTGTGTGGAAATTAAGTGCCTATATCTAGATACTTTTCCATACTACTTTAAAAGAAAAGGACAGAAAAGGGAGGGCACTCAATAATCAAAGGGAGCTCTAATGAGGGATGTTTGGTGGTGGGCACTGCCTTGGGTGAGTGAATGTAAATAAACTTACGGAAAATGGCTAACACCATCTCCTTTCACGTAAGTGTTACTAAGGAACACTCTTCTCTTGCCCACACCTGTCCAGTTGCATGCAGGTTTGGCTGCATGCAACTGGAGGCTGTTTGGGCATTTTATCCAATAGGATTCAAGTAAAAATGCCTAAAATAGTCTATAGGGTACAACCGTCTGTTATCAGTCTGGGTGTCCCGCTTGTGCCTCAGCACAGCTGCAATCCATAAACTAAGTGCTCCTCTACCTAAGCCTTCTGAGAAACCTAATCTGGCAGATTTGCACACAATGCAGATGTAGCCACTGCTTAGAAATGTGGCTGGAGGAAGTGGTTAAGGTGGTATGAAGAAACAATGAGTTTAAGTGCCCAGAGAATAGTTAGTCAAAATGGGAAACGCCTGACTAGTTATAGCACCTCCAGGGTTAGGTGGCAGCTGAGGAGGGTAAGATCAGAGGTTGCCAACCTTTTTTGTACCAGGACCCATCTGTAAACATCAATGGCCAGTCCCAACCTAGTAAACAGTTTAAGTAAAAAACATGCAAGTATTTTGGCTCCAAAATATTTATTACACCCTACAAGTTAAAGCAGCTCAACAGTCTTAATTTTAAACACAGAAATCAATATTAAAACATTAACGGCAATATCAACATGTGGCTCTCCATTACCCCCAAGTGAATATTCATCATTGTGCAATTTGCACAGTGCAGATTGCTGGTGCCCCTCACTCCTGACTCACATCCCCCTGGCCCTGCTAGTGTTCTTCAATCACAATCCACAGCCCTCCTCCCTTCCTAGCTCTGCTAGTGCCCCTCACTCCTGAGGGTCACTTGTAGTGACCCAGTGCCCCTAGGCCCCAACTCCCCACATCAGCAGGACATGGGGGGAGGCACCTGCCCCACCCCGTTTTGTTCACCCACAGTGGGGTAACAGGGCTGCAGAATGGGCAGAAACTGCTTCCATGGCCCAGCAGACAAGATCTTGAGTGAAAGAGCAGAGTGGGACAGCAAGATAGTTGCTGCTACCACCAGGACCCATGCACAAGCAGCTTGAGGATTAATGGATGAAGGTGAGACGCTGCACTGCTCTCACCTCCTCCTGCCGCCAGCCACTTACACACGCTGGGCTGTGGCTCTACCCTGCCGCTATAGCCCAGTCACCACCGCTGCTTCCCTCAGGCTGCCTATGCTGCCCACCATGCCACCTCCCCTCTGGAGTAGTCATGACCTGAGGGGAGCAACTGGCTGTGGGAGGAGGTAAGGGTAGCATGCACCCCCTCCCCACATCCGTTACTCCTTGCACTGCTGGTGGTATGGCTGGCACAGGGGGTCCGGCAGCAGCAGCAAGGAGTTTCACCATCCCGCTCCAACCTTCTGTGTTGGGTCCTGCCCACTGGGCCATGGAGATGGCTCCCGGCTGTGCCAGTCCAGCCAGGCGCCTGCTGGCCTGTGCCTGCTGTGGGTGTACAAATCTGTTGGGGGAGGCAGCATATGCCCCCCCCCAATGCCCTGCCGATGTCACCTGTGCTCCCGTCCCATGGACTTACTTGTGGGGAGCTACAGGAGCTGCTCTCCACACGCCTAGCTGCTATGGCCTGCTGAATGGTAGTCATGACTATTTCCAGTGAATTAAAGGCTGATTTTCAGTGGAAAGAATCTAGGAAGCAATTTTCTCCTCAGCAGAAAAGGTAGTAGTAAAACTAAGCTGATCCTTCCTAACATCCAATAGAAAGGAAAAACTAAGGAAGAGTGCCAGCTTCCTTTTTCTCTGGAAAATGGAACAGCTCAAAGTGAGCAAGTTTGCTCCTACCTGCTATTTTCCTATGGAAGAGTTGGGGAGATTGGTCTGAAATACCCACACTACATTCTGAGGGTAAAGGACTGAGAGGGGAGACAGTGCCTCAATCTCTAGAGCTCACTTCATAGGAGAGGTCAGAAGACGGGGACTACTGAAACCGTGCATCATGACAGGACTGGAAAGAAAACTGGGTACAAAGGAGGCAAAAATGAATTTGTCTTTTTCCTGGCTCCCCCCCCCCGCCTTTTTTTTTTAAACCGGACTTGAAAGCATGATATATCATTTCCATCTTGTGAAAAAGTGTTTAAAGAAGCTTTTAGCACAAAGCGAGCTACAGGCAGGGAAATGCAAAAAGTTTCCTTAAAGGCAGCTTGCCGCCAATCTTCACAGTGCCCCAAATCATATCCTCCTACTAGCTGGGTAACCCTTTCTGCTTTAGTAAAGATGCCCCTGCAGCTCACTCCTGAGGGTTGAACTGTAAGCCCCAATGAATATACCCATCATCTCTTTTCCTCTGCAAATATGCAAATCAATAACAGAAGATGTTATTAAGATGACTGAGTGCTTTGTGAGGAAAGGTGGGGAGGGATGCCAACAAACACCCTCATGTCAAGTACCCTTGCCACTGTTAAGTAATGATTAAGGCAGAGGTGGGCCATGGAAGGACTTTGCCCCGCCCACAGTGGGTCCCTCAGTTCCACCTGGCTCAAGTGGCATATGGCATGTCACTTACCTTTGGCAAGTCTGCCATGAGAACTTGTGCTTGTATTCAAAATTTAAAAAAAATCTTGCTGTCATGGCTAAAGATAACATTTCAATCACAAAGAATAAATGGATGCAATGATAAAGCAGGAGTGGGCAAAGTCCACCCCATAGGCTGGACTGGGTCTGTGGCAGACTCCATTTCCAGCAGCCCCTGGCCACGCCACTCTATCTGGTCTCCATAGAGACCACCCAGGAGAGGTGCTGTCAAGGGTGCACAGCTGGGCAGGGAGCTAGTGGTGTGCGAAGCGGGCAGTATTCAATTCGGATTCAGATTGGGCCCGATTCAGGGGACAGTAATTCGATTCACTGGTTTGGATCGCTGTCCCGATTTGATTCTGCTGAATCTGAAGATTCAGTTCTGATTCAGAGAATCACCAATTCGGCCATAGACACAGCTTTATATGTGTTTTCTACGTACCTCGAGGTACCAGGCATAGCTTGTGAACGCTAAGATGGTGGGGCAGATGGAGCGTCCCATGGGAGTGTTGGCGGGGGGGAAGAGTCCCTCGCACGCTTGGCAGTGGACCTGGAAGTGGACCAAAAGAACTTCTGGTCCACTTCTGGGGCTGCTGCCAAGCATGGGCAGGGAACACCCCCCCCCCCCTTCAACCCCTCCAGCTCAACTATCAGCCACAGGGGGACCTCAGGTGCTCCCCAGACCCAGGAGGCACCAGTCACTGAGCTGGGGGGGGGGGGGGGGGGGGGGGGCATCCTTGGGGCAGGGATAGTTGGGGCCACAGCCAGGGCAGAGCCACTGACCCAGTGCCTGTAGAACCTATGCTCATCACAGGAGCACATAAATCTGATTCGACATCTAGTACTTATTCAAATAAATAACCTATTCTTTATCTCCTGGGTGACTCTCAGCATCTCCTGGAGATTTATCTGTCTAATTCCTGCAGACTCCAGGACGATCCTGGAGGCTCAGCAACGCGCCATGGCACCGCAGGGTGCCTCGAGCCTTTCCAGGGTGGCGTGGCACGGGGCGGGAGGGGCTCCCAATCATTGACGGCTCTGCAAGGCGCTATTCGATGGGGGGCAAAAGGAGCCCAGGCTGCAAATCCCATTCTGAGAAGCTGGACTGCTCACACCATGGGGAGCGAGAAGGACGTCACTGTGCGCCCCGCCCCCTCCCAACCGCCACCAGAACAACGCTGCAGCAGGAAACGCCCCCGATACTCGGCACCAACCGCTGCCGCTCCCGGTGACACACGCCAAGCGCCGGCCCCGCTACCCTGCCCCGGGGTGGGGAGGAACCCACAATGAAGGTCATGGGTTCGGGCGCGAGCCCCGCGGTACCTGAGGGTTGTAGGCGGCCGCCGCCCCCCCCCCGATCAAATTCTGCGTGAAGCTGCTGAATTTGTAATACATGGCGTCTGGCTGCCCCGCACACGTGAAACCGCGGCCCGACTGTGACAACGAGGAAGGAAAGCCCGGCGCCGGCCGCATCAGTAGGCCCGCCGCGCCCTTAAACAGTGACCTCGGAAAGCAGCGGCAGGCGCGGAACGGGCCACACCGGCGCTGCCCAGGAGCCCGCCGCGGGGCGCAGCAGAACTGCTTACGCCGCGAGCCTTTGGGGGCGGCTGCGGGCGCGCGCACATTTGCAGACAGGCACGACGCAAGCAGCCTGACCCGGCAAAACCGAGTGCGCATGCGTGCTCCGTTCCCTTCTCATAAGTGTGCAAGGTCCTTCGGCCGGCGGCCGAGGGTAGGGTTTAAAACGAACCAATTCGCAGTGGAGGACGCTGGGGGAGCTCCGCCCCCTGCCCAGCAACTGTTGCTTAGCGAGGGGGGAAGCTTTCCCTGAGGCGCGTCCACTTGAGAGGGGACGACCCAGGTGGGGCTGGGGGGCGCGTGATCATCGTGTGCGCAGGCGCGGGCAGGTGCAGCCCGGGCCCTCACCCCCGGCTGCGCCGTTGAGGGCGGGGTCACCGGGCGGCTCCGCGACCTTCGCCGGGCTGCTCCAGAGTAGTTACGTGCCTGGTGGAGGGCCCCGCCTCCCCCATGGCGCTCACTACAGTATTTACCCGAGTGCGCGGGCATTTGGAAGTGAAGATGCCTCCACTCCCACCGCCTACAACTCTAGAGGTGGGAAACTATAAATGATTTCATTATAAATGTATCCGTTAACTTGATAAATTGTAAAATGTATAAATGGAATGTATTGAATAAAGTTATAAAGTTAAAAGTAGATCTGTGAAGAAATTGAGTTGGTTGAATAAAAGGGATCACCTCTACCACAAGTTCTGATTCCTTTATAAAGTAATGCGTTTATAAATTAATAAGTTGTAAATTATGAATTTATAATTTATAGTTTATACGTTTTCCATATCTAGGATGTAATTAGTGGAAGGTCATCTTTTTGCAGGGGGTGCACTGCCATGTACAGGGGGTGCACGTGCACCTGTGTGCACCCCCTACATGTCGCTCCTGCCTGCTCTCCTCCCTGTCACTTCCCCTCACCCTGCTGTCTGCCCACCTGGTGACTTGCCTCCTGGCCTGTTTCTGCCACAGTCTGGCTCCAACTCCAGTTCCAGGCCAGGGCACGGAGCACATGGTGACTCCAGCCCCATCCAAGAAGCAACTCTAGCTCTGGGCCTGCATCCTAGCATGAGCTGCAGCAGCTCCTGTGACAGTCTCCTCCCAGGCTCCCACCACAACTGCAAACCATGCAATCTCCCCACAACTGTCCCATGCTGTCTCACCTGTGCTTGCCCCACCGCACCATGCAGTCTCCCCAGTGCTCCCTCTCACTGTGGCCCCTTTTCCCCACCACACCAGCTGCCACAAGGCAGCAGCAGTAAAAGCTGCAGCTCCAGCCCTGCACCCAGGCCGCGGACCCAGACCCACAGGTGCCCCAGGCTGGTACTTGAAGCCAAGACCTGCCCCTCCCCTCCCCCCGCCATGTTGAATGGTGAAAAAAAACCTTGTCTTGGGTTTGGGTAAATACAGAAATAACAATAAAATATTCTGCTATCCAGGTGTTTCCCTTGTTACCAAGCACTTCTTTCTAGCAGAAGCAACATCCACATCAGTACTTGTCTGGCAGTGGTAACTTCATTTGAAACTTGGTGTGGCAGGGAAGGTGGACATGGTGTTCTTCTGAAGAGAGTTTTCTGCAGTCACAAAAGGCTTTATGGCTCTGGGGAACTTGTAACACAGGACTGGGAAATTATTTGGGCTGGAGGGCCATTTGGGGAGTTTTGGTGGGCTGTTGTAGGCAAGCGGGGGGGAGGAGGAGGGGCTGACCTGGCTTGACACGGCGGGGGGGCAGGCGGACATTTGATCCTATCTGGCTTGGTCCCATTCGTCCTGCACCCACCACAGGGGGCACCAGATGGAGTGGGTGGGTGGATGGGCAGGGTCTCTAGACCTGACTTCATGTGGCACCCAACATCTAGGGAGACGACGAGCCAATTGCTCATGGATCCTGTTACTCATTAGCCAGAGCAAGCAGGGAGCAAACACTAGCACACATTGCTCGCAACAGCTTTATTCAGAATGGAGACAGCTTCTGACTAGCTCCCAAAAAACGAACAAATCAGGGAGCCGCACTGAACATTAGTTCCTTTCACATTTTATATGCCTTGGTTCATACATATTAACATTCATTCCACCTATGTCCCTCCTCGGGTTCCACCCATTTCTCCTCCCATCTCAAGCTCCGCCTCTGTTTACTGCGTTCGCATAGAATTGCCTATGCATTTCATTCATTTAGATGCCTCTGCTAAGAGCACATGCGTAAGGCCAGGAACTCGAGTACTCTCGGTCACTTGCTGGTCCTTTCTGGTTGTCTGCTGACTCCAGCAGCCTCTCCAAGGTCTGGCTTCTGTCTTATCTCCTGACGATAGCTGGTGGGCTGCATCTTGTTCTTCTTACACAAGGAATCATGTATCCTTCACACAATTCCATTGTTAAAGAAACTACTTGCCTAAGCATTTGCAAGTTTATTTTAATACATCATTTTGCCTTGTGACCAGCTGCTTTGCTGAGACAAAGATTAAAAGCCTTGTTCCAGCTGCAGATCCAATGCGCCTCAATAATCCAAATTATTGTCACCCTAACAGTCTCCATAAAGACTGGCCCAGGACCTCCACAGGCAGGGCATAGGCAGATGGGATGGGGCCATGGATGGGTGGAAAGCAGTGTCCAGGAATGGGACAGGTGGGGGTTAGGGCTGGTATCACGGGTCTGTGACAGTGTGGGGCCAGGACTTGGGGCAGAGCCACGATCTGCTCCCCACACCCCCATGCCTGTGGAACTGGCAGCTGTTGCAGGGACATGTGAGGAGCAGATTATGGCTCTGCCCCAGGCCCCAGCCCCACACTGTCACCGCCTTGTAATCTCAGCCCTGGTTCCACCCACTCATCCTGCTCTTGAATACCTCCCACTCACAGCCCCAACCCATCTGCCCAGCAGCGCACACCTTGCCCACAAAGGTCCCAGGCTGTCTTCATGGAGACCCCACCCACCCACTCTGCCTGGTACCCCCAGTGGTGGATGCAGGGCAAGGCAGAGGACCGGGGTGCCCAGGTAGTGGGGCTGGGTTCAGTGATGGCAGTGATGCTGGCAGTGGTACCTAGAAGGAGCCATAGCCACTGGGGCTGCTGGGGAGCTGAGTCTGGCTGTTGTGCCACCCCAGCCCCACTGTGTGTCTGGGGGAGTGGGATGGGCTGCATGAGCCATGACCCAAGCTGCTTCCCATGCCTGGGCCAGGCAGGGCTGAGAGACTTGCCATGGGCTGTATTTTGCCTACCACTGTTCTGACAACCGCAACAGCATCGCTAGCAGCAGCCCACTTCTCAATGTGCCTTGGCCCTAACCTAGAGGTCATCAGCTTCCTTTTGTGTCACTCCTGATCTGGTTAAGATTCAAGCTTGTACCCTGCAGATAAAATGTTGTCTCTCCCATTACCAGTTTTAGGAGCCCCCTTTTTGCCAGTTTTCTGTCACTTTCTGAGAAGTTCTTGACGCAAATGTATTTGCATTTCTTTATGTCGGTGGTCACCAACCAGTGGGTCTCGATCCATTGGTAGATCTCTGAGCCTCTTGGAGTCGATCTGAGTCTGGGGTGGGAGGCTGAGTGCCTGCGTGGTGTGAGGCTGAGTGCTGGGTGGGACTTACCTGCTTGGGAGGCACGCTCCCAAATAATTTTTCTCCCTCTGCCTTGATCTGGCCCCCCCCGACTTACCTGCTGGGTGGAGGGGGGAATCAGGTGGGGGCGGTGGTGCCCGGTAGATCTTGGGTTGCTTTTAAATACCAAAGGTGATCTCCTACTTTAAAGAGTTGGAGACCACTGCTTTATGCAAATATATGTATCTGGGAGGTGGATAATGCCACAAAAATCAATACAATGTTGGGATATGGGACAGCGTAAGAATGTCTCTCACTGCAGGAAAGATTGTTCCACAGAAGATGCATAAGGAAGAAAAATGTGGATTGTTTACTGGAAGGGAAATACACAATATGGTTCCCTCACCCACAGTTTTTCATTTTTGTGAACGCCTTTTCATTAGGTTCATGGAAATGGTAGCAGAACCATGGGGTGGCCACTCAGTGGCATTTTCCACCCCCCAAACCTGCATAGATGTCCTGGACAAGATAACACTGATTCTTGTCATGGGAACGCCTTCTGCATACTGAACTCTCCTTCGTCTGAGAAAGGAAGGTTTTGAGCCAGACAAACATGGATCCATGACATCGGAGCTCCTGCTGTGGTCATGGTGGTAAGTGGTTGCCACAATGTTACGTCTATCCCCACTGAGGTGGCCACATAAAGGTGCAAATCTCGCCTGCTCCTTGGGGAATGAGGACAATACCCCCACATACACCCCCGACAAAAGGATGAGCATGTGAAAACATCATGTGAAACACTATTGTTTTGATATTGCTTGAGGTCAAGTGACCGAAGCTGAACAATCTGTGCAACAATTGAGAAATTACAAAATCTTTTACTAATATAAAGAATGTTGTGAAACCTTGTCGTTTGCAAAAATGTGTAGCATGACATGCATTGGGATTGTGCATTTGTGACTTGTTACTTTTACTTGGTAATTACAGTTATTTTGAAGACATGGTGGTTTACAAGTATGTTGTTTGATCCCTTGTATATTTGCTAGTGACAGATCGGAAAGTGTGAAAAAATTCAAAGCCCAGAGTGGGAGTAAATAAACAGAGCATGTGACTTGGCAGTGGAAGTCTACAGGGTGCAGCAATTTGTAGTAGAAACTTGGTCTGAAAATTCAGGGTTGAAGTCTGCACCCACTGAAAGCAATAGGAACATGTTAATATATTGCCAAGTAATTGGGGACCTCTTAGGCTTGTCTGTGGGAACATTTACCGTGTCTTCCCTTAGTATACCATACCACCTAAGCACTTGTCAGAGGAATCGGGTATGCATGGCAAGCTCTTCAACATTTCCTTCCTTACCAGTGATGCTTTATTTCCTGCTGTCACATACC